GGCGTGGCCTTTTCTCTTACCAGCTGCTGTGTCTCTGGGCCAGAGTTAGCAGGGCCAGCTGGTGCCTGCAGCCATGACCTCCAACCTGGAGGCACATGGAATCCCTTGGGAGCTCTGGAAATAGGCAGGTGCCTGTGCCCTATCCCAGACCAGTTCAAACCCTGAGGATGAAGCATGGGTCTTAGTTTGTTTAGAAATCTCCCAAGGTAGCCAGGAGACATGGTGACTCATGCCTGTAATCCCAGTACTTTGGGAGGCCAAGGCGGGTGGATCACCTGATGTCAGGAGTTCGAGATCAGCCTGGCCAATATGGTGAAACCCCATCTCTACTAAAAATACATAAATTAGCCGGGCGTGTTTGGTGCATGGCTGTAATCCCAGCTACTTGGGAGACTGAGGCACAAGAGTTGCTTGAACCTGGGAGGTGGAGGTTGCAGTGAGCCGAGATCATGCCATTGCATATCCAACCTGGGCAATGGAGTCATCTCAAAATAAAGAAAGATATCTCCCGAGGTGATTCACATAAGGAGCCCTCCAGAACTTCATTCCCCCCACCCACTGGCTGCACTTTGTATCTGCTCAGATGCCTTCATCTCGATGCTTCCTGCCTCTCTCCCTATGACCTATTCTTCAACTCTGCCCCTACGTTTTTGACCCCCTTTTCATTGAGATTCAATCCTTTCCTGCCTCTTCTACCTGATCCTGATTCCTGTCCCACAGAGGCCTTGCCTAGGTCGTGGGAACTGCAAACTGAAGTGACCCCCAAGTTGGAACCTGGGGGATGTCACAAGGAAACGCTATTTGCCAGTGGTGGGCAGAGCTGCATTGGTCTTCCAATACCTGATGAACTCGGTGGGCTTGTATGGACTGGTTGGGAACTTCACCACCGTGCAAGTATGTTTTCATTTAGAAATTAAGGAGTTCCCTCTGTAAAGCAGTAAGATTCTACTCATGACCTTCGTGTGCTTCCGTCCAGTAGGAAGAGACCTAAACTCTCAGAAAAGCATACTCCAAATACAGAGTCCACGGCTAGATTTTGTCCTGTTGACCGGCTGTTCTTAAACTTGGGCCTGTTTAGGGATCACGTGGGAGCATTTTAAAAATGTCCATATTCTGACCACATTCCATTTAATTCTCATTCAGTGTTCTGTGGGGGAAGCTTGAGCATGGGTTTTTTGTTTTTGTTTTTTTTTTTAAATCTCTGTTTTCTTTTTAATAAATAGAGTCAGGGCCTTGCTGTGTTACTCAGGCTGGAGTGCAGTGACACGATCATAGCTCACTGCAGCAGGCTAATTTCTTTATTTTACTTTTTGTAGAGACAGAGTCTTGCTATGTTGCCCAGGCTGGTCTTGAACCCTTAGCCTCAAGTGATCCTCCCACCTCAGCCTCCCCAAGTGTTGGGATTACAGGTGTGCGCCATTGCACCTGGCCATTCTTGGGGTGTTGAAAACAAGCTCTCCAGGAAATTCTGGTGTGCACCAAAGTTGGAGAAGGATTTGTGTGCCTAAATCCAGAGAGAGGGGAGGTCAGGGCAGGCTGGAGTCAGTTCAGGCTTCGGGGAGGCAAGTCTTGAGTTTATCCTTTTCCTAGAGGAGTCTGAACTATGGCCAGGGAAGATGGGGGACAGCTTGAGTGGACTCCTCTCCCCAGCTCTGATCCCCTGCCCCTCCCTAGGTGCTGTTTCTTGGCCTCCCTGCCCTGACACCTGGCTGCCCAGGCCCTCAGCTCAGGCATCCCCACTCTGTCTTCCTTGATCAGAAAGCACCTTCCTGGGGCTGCTGATGTGTCGCCCTGGCAGTCAGCTGTCACCGTTCATCTATGTCCAGTCACTGGAGTGGACACTGAGTGTCACTTTGGATCAAGCCTCAAGGATCCTGGGGCTGTTTTCTCCCATGTCTCCCATTTCCCCTGGATGGGGAGGAAGGTGGGAGGGAGGCAGCATCAGACATGCGTCAGATTTTCCTGGCTTCTCCTGGTGTAGAGGACGTACAGTTGAGCCCAGGAGCAGACTGTGGGTGGGGTGTGGGTGAAGGGGTGAGGACCCCTGCCCTTCCCCCTGGGGTCCCTGGGCCTGGAGAGCAGCTGCGGCTTCTTTCTCTCTGAATAGGGAGAGCTGCCAGGGAGGCCGGGACAGACGGGTGGAGCAGCCCCCGAGGGGCAGAGGAGATGAAGTAGTTGAAACCCGATCAGCTCATAGTTGTCGTTCCGTGTGGGTTAGCGTCTGAATGGTTCCCCAAATCCCACTTCATCACTCATAATTCAGGCTAGGACTCCTGAGGCCGCTGGGCTGTGGTTTGGGGTGAGGAGAGTGTGTTGTGCAACAGCGGCCCTGAGACTTGGCATTTGCATCTTGTAATTAGTGCTGTGGGAGGGGGATGGGGACTCCAATAGGAAGGGGTGGGCCCTCTCGTGTCTTTCCATGGAATTCTCCCCACCACCCTATGAAACAGGGTTTAGCATCTCCGTTGTATGGGTAAAGAGACTTGCCTATGGTTACAGAGCATTAATATCACAGTTAGAATTCCAACAGCTCAAGCTTTTAAAATTACCCCATGCCACTTCCAGGGCACTGCATTGAAAGTCAGCTTTGGTTTAGGCTTTGCCACCAATTAGGTGACCTTGGACAAATCCCCTCACTCACAAGCCACTTTCGTAAACTGCAAAATGGGGTCAGGGTGTGGACCCTTAGTCCCCAGCAGAGTCCCGCAGTTCCTGTGTCCCTGGAGCCCGGTGGTCTCCCTCCGTAAGTCTGACCTTGGGCAGTGTGGCGTCTTTGCCCAGAGCGGTTCTCACTGCCTTTTGGGAGCTGGGGCTCCTATGTGGACTCTGATTTAAGGGCTACAAGGCCTATCTCTCCCTATCCAATAGAGGTTTCCTGAAAAAAAACAAAACGAAAAGCAGTCGCTATGTTGTTGAAAAAAATATAGAAGTGTAAATCAGACTGTCCACAGTTGACATGGCAATCTGGCTGTGAGAGGCAGCTCTTAGCTTACTGCCTCATTGGCAAAGGGAAGAACATGGAGTGCAGAGTCTTTTAGTCTTTTCTAGGTCCCCCACTCTAAGATTCTCGGGTTCCGAGAATACTTTTTTTGTGGTATTATCCCCGTCCATTTTCTTGCTTGAATTTGCTTCAAACGACATACGTTAATTTAGATAGCTGGGGTTAGTAGGACTCTTACCTACCACCTGAGGAGACATTTACAGAAAAGAAGAAGAAAAAAAAATATGTAATGTTTTTATAGAGACAGGGTTTCACTCTGTTGGCCAGGGTGGTCTCAAACTCCTGGTCTCAAGCAGTCCTCCTGCCCCAGCCTCCCAAAGTGCTGAGATTACAGGTGTGAGCCACCACGCCTGGTCCACCTGAGACACTTCTTAAGGCTGTCTCCAGATAGGTCATTTAACTGATAATTCTTAGGTAAATTTACTAAATTCCCTTTATCCAAGATTCACCTTCTTTTATTGCTTTGAGAGGACCCCAGATAATGGAGACTTCCGAGGTTTTTCTTGGCAACAATTTAAGAGGTCAGCAGGAGCTATGCACGGAGTCTCAGATTCATAGAGGAATGGTCTGCATTCGAAGCCCCACAGCTGTGATTTCTGGCCTTGACCGTGACTCTGGCATGGGACTGCCCTGGGTTTTCGCTGCTTCATCCCTGCCAATGGGGACAATAGAAAGCCAAAGATGGTGTGCCAGGGTAGAGCACATTGTCAGACCTGGTGCCCGTGAGTCTCCTGCTGTCGTGATAGTGCATTCATTTCATGTTTTATACTGTACAGAGACACCTTTCCTTTGCTACTCATAACAGCCCTATCAGGTGGGCTGAACAGATATATGTATTTTTTATTTCTATATTGTGTGAGTTTGTAGCCTATGTATTATAAAAAAAGTTGAACTGGCATAAAACAGGACAGAGTCAGTGAGATCTCAGGGCACACGCAAAAACTATAACAGCTCACACTTGCTGAGAACCTTCTACATATAGGGACAATTCCAAGTGCTCTTAAATGTATTTATTTATTTTTTTATTTTGGGGGGATGGAGTCTCACTCTTTCATCCAGGCTGGAGTGCAGTGGTGAGATCTTGGCTCACTGCAACCTCCACCTCCTAGGTTCAAGCAATTCTCCTGCCTCAGCTTCCCCAGTAGGTGGGACTACAAGTGCGAGCCACCAAGCCCAACTTTATATGTTTAGCAGAAATGGGGTTTTGCCATGCTGTCCAGGCTGCTCTCAAACTCCTGACTTGAGGTGATACTCCCACCTCAGCCTCCCAAAGTGCTGGGATTACAGACGTGAGCCACTGTGCCTGGCCTTCTTAAATGTATTAACTCATTTTTACAGCTTTCTTATGAGGTAGGTGCTATTATCCCTGTTTCACAGAAGGAAAAGCTGAGGCTTGGTGGTTAAGGAACTTGTTCACAGTGGAGCTTATGCTTTTTTTTTTCTTTTTTTTTTTAGGGATAGGGTCTTGCTGTGTTGTGCAGTTGCATGAACATGGCTTACTGCAGCCTCCATCTCCTGGGCTCCAGCAGTCCTCCCAACTCAGCCTTCCGTGGAGCTGGGACTACAAGTGTGAGCCACCACACCCAGCTAATTTTTAAAATTTTTGTAGAGATGGGGTCTTGATATGTTATCCAGGCTGGTCTCAAACTCCTGGCCTCAAGTGATCTTCCCACCTTGGCCTTCCAAAGTGCTGGGATTATAGGCATGAACCACTTTGCCCAACCTGAGCACATACTTTGACCACTGTACTAGAGTATTTCTTTATAATAGATAAGGCTTGAGGGTAATGTTAATGTCACAGGTTTCCATCAGGAATCCTGAATCATTATCCAGGAATTATCATCACCGTTTCACAGGTGAGGAATGCAAGTTAAAGAATGGTTGAGTACCTTGCTCAGTGTTGCCAGGGAAGTGGCATAAACAGAGCTAGAATTTTGGTCTTCTGTCTGTTGGTGCTGTTTCCACAGCCGCCTTAAAATGAAAATTATGTGTCTTTCAGAATCTGGCAATGGGGGCAGGAGCTGTTGGAGCTTTGCAGCTGACCTACATCTCGAAGGTAATGTTGACCTGGAACTCTGGGAATTCATACTCTGTAAGTGGATCTGGTTTCTAAGCAAGGGGAAGTGTCCAGTCCTTTGGGCACTAGTATTTTGGGACGTTGCATGGTGTTGAAATGCTCCTCTGACCCCACACACTGCCTGTGGAAGCTTAGCTGCTGATGGGTGGCTGTAGAGGTATGTAGTTAGCAAGTTGTTGGAGGGTGGACCTACAGCCTCTTACTCCTTGAACACATCAATCCATAATGCTCCCAGCTCCTGCACAGGAGGTGTTATGTGGTGGAGGAGCTGGGGTAGGGGTGGGACATGACCCATGACCTTTTTTGTAATTGGGACGAAAGAGAACACGAAAACAATCACCAAAAATCCAGCAACTGTGAAGGATTCTCTCAAAGAGTACAGTCAAACAGAAGGTGTTGGGGCTTCACTGGAATTTTACTATTCACCTGGACGGGATTACGGTGGAGGGAAGGCTAAGAAGGCCCTGAGAAGCTACTCAGATGGCCAGGAAGACATTCAGCAGCCAGATAACTGCTGGGGGTTGGGGCAGGTGGCTGCCAGGCCACCCCCAGTCCAGTTTGTACAGAAGGAGCTGGAGCAGGCCGTCTCTTGTGCTGAGAGCTGGGGTGGGGACTGGTTAACGGTGCCCACATGTAACTGTTGAATTCAGCTTCTATTAGTGGCCCCTCCCCGGAGCAGGCACCACTGCTGACCTGTGATGCAGCGGTGATAAAAAGGCCGGGAGATTTAGAGCCTCCCCAGAAAGAGGAACTCTTTGTACAGTGAGGAGAGCCAGGTGGCACCCCGCCAGCACTGAGGTTTCGGAAGTCCTGTGCTCCCCACACACCCTCACTGCAGGCCTCTTGGGAGCCTTTTCTGCCCTGCGCATCCCCTTTCATCCTCAGGGGCTTGGGGCCCGGGGGCCCCTGAGCCAAGGGTCTACTAGCTCCATCTTGTAACAAGCTTTGGGAGCGTTGCACCCTGGCGGGTCAGGAGATGAACCTGAAGGGGACTGGGGGACTCTGGAGGAGAGGACACCCTTGGCTGGAGGGGCAGCCAGCCCCTGTGCCTGTGGTGTGCAGGCAGAGTCAGGCAGACACAGCTCGGTACAAAGGCACAAGATGCAGGGCAGCGTCAGGGCGGATTAAAGAGGGAGAGAATGACCTCAGGGAAGGGGGAAGGGCCTTTTCAAGTCCAGCCTTGCTAGCACAGCTGCCGGCAATTTGTGCATGCCTTGTGGTGAGAAATGTGGCTGTCTCCCCAGGCCAGAGCAGCCAGAGGCCCAGGCCTGCCCGCCCTCCCTGGCTTGTCCTTATCTTGCTGAGAGCTCCTGAGGTCATTTCTCCAGGAGGGTCAAAGATGGAGAATTGAGAGCAGAGGAGCAGAGAACCTCGCAGTAATAAAGGAAAACTGAAACCCTCTCCTGTGTGAGAGGGTTTGGGAAGACTTTTTTTTTTTTTTTTGGTTGAGGAAGAATGAATTCAGTCTCCTGCTGAATCATGATTTATAAATGCGGCTCAGATGAGGGTTTTAGAGTTCTCAGCCTTGGAGGCTGCCTCGTTTAGAAAGGGTGACCTGCTGTTTAGTCCCTTCCCGAGAAAGGCAGGGCTGGGTGGGCATTTTGCAAAACCCACAGCTGCCACTGGGTCGGGTTACACAGAGCCCAGAGCCTTGAACTCCTGCCTGACTCCCTGCCAGAAAGCAGGGGGTTTTCCCAGGGTGACATTTAGCCATGGAGGCGCTGGGTTCTCCAGCTCTGCATTCCAGTCATTACTTGTTAACCCTTAGGTATTCCATCCTGCAGGAAAGCACTTGCCACCGTGTCAGGTGGCCTGGCCAGAGGGCAGCGTGTGGGCTGTCTGTTCAGGGTGTGTGCTTCTCTGCTGTCTGCTGAGGGCTGGTGTTGGGAAGATGAGGAAGGGCGTCCGGCCCTGGTCCTTTGGAGAGACAGAGATGAAAGTGACGATTGGATGTCATCCAGAGCATCGATGGGCAACAGAAACAGTTCTTAGCAAACTAGAAAATAATTAAAGCTGCCCTTTGACCCCTGCCTCTACCTCACCAGCTGCACAGCCAACCCCACTGTCCCACCCCCAGCTGTGTCCCGGTTGTCAGGGCCTTGCTTTCAGGCACCTCTCAGAAAGAACTTGTGGGGGATCATGGATCCTTTTTCAAGGCTGATGAAATTCATGGATGCCTTCTCCAGGTAAATGCATAAGTGTACGGACACACCCTGCTTTTGCCTATAATTTCAGGGAGCCCATTGACCACCTGAAGCTGGTCCAGAGACCCCTATCCCATGTAGGTGGCTGCTACTCCCCTGCTCCTGATGCCACCTCGTGGGGCAAGGTCATCCCCAGATACCAGGGCAGAGGCTGCAGCAGAGTAGGAGACCTTGTTTTGCTGCCACTGCTTCTGCCAGAGGGGCCCCAGCTCCTCTTCCGGCCATGGGCAGACAGGGTGGGGCTGGCCCTAGCCGTGCCTGGCCGCTGACGAGCTTGCAGCTCCTGTGGTCTGTGTTTGATCTGATAAGCACAAGTTCCTGAGAGTCTGTTGAGCTGTGGAGCAGCCCTGTCTGCGTCACTCTATGGGGGACCTGTGCCCACTCCCTGCTCACATCCCTGACCTCTGCTCGCTGCTGGGGTGTTCACAGGACCCACCAGGCAACCACTGCTGTGCAGAGCCTCTGCTGTGGCCACCTCGACCGTGTGGATGGCTGCACCTTGGTGGCCTCACTGGAGTCAGATGGTCGGGTGACCTCACCCGCCTGCAGCCACACCTCTTCATGAAAGGAGGCGAAGCCACCACGTCTCCATGATAAGTTAGATTTCCTCCTTGCCTTTTTTTTTTTTTTTTTTTTTAATTTGAGACAAAGTCTCACTCTCTCGCCCAGGCTGGAGTGCAATGGTGCAGTCTTGCCTCACTGCAACCTCTGCCTCCTGGGTTCAAGCGATTGTCCTGCCTCAGCTTCCCGAGTAGCTGGGATTACAGGTTTGTGCCACCATGCCTGGCTAATTTTTGTATTTTTAGTAGAGATGGGGTTTCACCATGTTGACCAGGCTGGTCTTAAACTCCTGACCTCAGGTGATCCGCCTGCCTCGGCCTCCCAAAGTGCTGGGATTATAGGTGGGAGCCACTGTGCCCGGCCTCACCTTGACCTTTCTTTCCGTGGGACTCAACAACAGGTAGAAATCATTTCATTGTCCTCTTTTGCCACTCTGTGGCAAAGGGGAATAGTGTTTTTACTCTGGCTTCACCTATTGTGAAGCTGATCAGAGACATTGAGGGTCTTACCCTTGCAATGAGCCAATCAGGGCAGAACTAGAACCGATGCTGTTAGTTCAGCAATGTGTTGGTAGCCGTTGAAGACATGATGGCCAGCTGACGGTTGTACACGCATGCATCATCACGCGTGCCACTCTCACGGTACCTCCTAACCAAAACTGGATAAACAGGAGAAAGACAAACAACACGCAGCCCCAGGTGACTTGTCTCTCTTGAAGGCTCCAGGTTTCCGCATAATGAAACCCAATGGGGATCACCATTCTGCACAGCAAGGCTGGCGAATCAGTTGTAGTTCAAGTGATGCATATTGTTATCTCAGCAGTGAAAAACTGTCCGGCCTTGTGGGTTGTTCTCTTCTACGTCAAGTGACAAATAGGAGTTTTTCAGAGAAAAGGCAATTCTCCTATAAGCCAGAAAAGGGTCCTTGGAGTACCCAGCTTTTTCAATGTCCTTCTAAAGCTGTGAAGCTAGACTGGGCACAGTGTGTCTCATTGCCTGTAATCCCAGCACTACTGGCTGAGGCCAGGAGGTTCAAGACCAGTTTCGGCACATAGCGAGGACCTAGTTCTCTACAAAAAAAAATTAAAAAATAAAATGTAGGCTTTTGAGCATGGTGGTGAAGTGCCTATAGTCCCAGCTACTTGGGAGGCTGAGTGGGCAGGATCGCTGGAGCCAGACGTTTGAGGCTGAATAAGCCATGATTCGCACCCTCTGCCGCTTCCAGCTGGAGACGACGTGAGACCCATCTCTTAAAAAAAAAAAAAAAGCAGGCGTGGTGGCATATGCCTATGAATCCAGGCGCACTTTGGAGAGACCGAGGTGGGCTGGATCCACCTAAGGTCAGGAGTTCAGACTAGCCTGGGCCAACATTGGCGGCAAAACCCGCATCTCTTTACTAAAAATACAAAATAATTAGTCCCGGTTGTTGGCAGTGGTTTGCCTTGTTAGTCCCAGCTACTTTGAGGCTGAGGCATCGCTTGAAGCTGGAGGGCAGAGATTGTAGTGAGCCGAGATCTGCACCATTGCACTCCAGTGCCTGGGGCGACAGAGCAAGACTCTCTCTCAAATAAATAAGTAATAATATAAAAATTAAATAAATAAATAAGTAAGCTGGAAGTAGAAGGGGAGACATGAGATAGGTGGGTTCTGAGGCTGGGATGGCCAAACACAGTTCTGCTGTGGTCAGGATTTTTCTGAAGATCGGGGCAGAACAACTAGGAGTTACGGACCGAGGACTGCGGGAATGTGGATGCCGAGGGCCAAAGCAGAAATGAATTACTGACAGATCAATACTCAGGGTGTAAGTGAGACAGAAGCCTACGCCATGGGTCCAGGATTTGAATGAGGGGCTGGGGGTTAGAAATCCAGGAAGCAAGATGCCTAGGAGCCTGGGCTATTGTGTTAAGGAGCCACCAGCGTCCTCTTACCTGTGAGTTGACACACAGAGGAATTTGGATCCTCTGTGTCCGAACTTGGGATAAGTGGGTTTACCTTTGCTCAAATTTTCATTTTTTTAGATCTTTCTTAGGCTCCATGGCTTCCATCTCACATCTCGAAATGCACATCCCTTATTAAATATAATTGGCCATAATATGTATATAAAATATTTGAAAGGATTTTAATCATTTTACTTTTGGAATGATTTGGCTCTGAGTAACTCATCCAGTTTGTAACCGGCTCTAATTTCTGGGCAGTCATCTTGCACACACACAAAAGGATTCTTGTGAGCTAAGAAAATCTAAAGTATCCTTTTTTTTTTTTTTTTTTTAGATAGAGTCTCACTCTGTCATCCAGGCTGGAGTGCAGTGGTGGGATCTCGGCTCACTGCAACCTCCGCCTCCCAGGTTCAAGCAATTCTCCTGCCTCAGCCTCCCAAGTAGCTGGGATATTACAGGCATGTGCCACCACACCCAGCTAATTTTGTATTTTTAGTAGAGACAGGGTTTCACCATGTTGATCAGGCTGGTCTCGAACTCCTTACCTCAAGTGATCCACCCGCTGTGACCTCCCAAAGTACTGGGATTACAGGTGTGAGCCACTGTGCCCGGCCCAGTACCAATTATTTTCAAATGAAAAAATTTTTAATGTTTCATTGAAAAATTAATGACGTTTACTTGAGTAATATCTTGTATGCATTTAAATAATTGTCAGGGAGGTTGATATAATGTTATGTAGGCATTAATTAACACTAGATATAGCATCTTCACTTTGTGTGTAGGAGGCCAGGTTTTCAGGTTTCATACAGTTTTGCAAGCCCAGAGAAACTCATGGGCCCTCAGCGTTTTGCCAGTAGTTCCAGGCGGGACACCGCCTGTGTTGATGTGTGGAGTGAGGCTTTAAAGGAAATGAGGTATCAAAAGCTATAAATAATCCCTCCTGAGTTGAGCAGATTCTTTGTGGAGGAATAGCTGTCTTACCTGCACTATCATATTTAACCCTTATGTTAACCCTATGAAAACATGGCATTATGATCCTTTATTTGATAGAACAGGAAGTGGAGGTCATTCAGCTTCAACACCTGTCATTTGAGACTCTCTGTCTCTGACTGCCTGACCTTCTTTTGATCTTTTATAAAATGCTACCTCAGTTCCCATTTATTTGGGGCAATATTAATTTTGGTTAAGGAATCTGGGCAGGTGTATAGCAAGAACATAGAGCCAAGAGTAAGAACCTAGACAGACTGGTGAGTCAGTCATTGTTAGACCCTAACTGCTGTCAGCCAGGAAGAGACTTTCATTTCAATTCAGGACTTTTTCTTTAGCACCTGGCTTCTGATGACGCTGCCCATTACAGTAGGAGCCAGCTGATTGTGGTGGTTCATGCCTATAATCCCAGAACTTTGTGAGGCTGAGGCAGGAGGATCACTTGAGGCCAGGAGGTTGAGACCAGCCTTGACAACATAGCGAGACCCCATCTCTAAAAAAAATAGAAAAATTAGCTGGGTCTGGTAGCACACACCTGTAGTCTAGCTTCTCAGGAGGGTGAGGTGGAAGGATCACTTGAGCCTGAGCAGTCGAGGCTGCAGTGAGCTGTGCTTGCGCCACTGCACTCCAGCCTGGGTGACAGAATGAGATAGGGTCTCATTCTGGGCTCAAGTGATCTTCCAGCCTCCTATCTCAAAGAAAGAAAACCCAAAAACACCCACAAACAAATAAAATAAAGTGGGAACCACTCCTGGAGCCCCTAGGTGAGGACACATCGAAGAATACCCTTGGCTGGAAAGGGATGGAGAGAATGGTATCCAGGGGAGGACTGTGACATCATGTGAATAGTCCCCGGCCTAGGACCCATGGGAAGGTGACTGTCTGTTTAGAGGCCCAGTGGTGGAGGCTGCCTCCAGGGAGTCTCAGCCTCCATCAAGGATTGTCCCTAATCTTTGTGGGCATGTGGTGGAATGTGAGTTGCTTTTCTTTTTTCTTTTGTTTGAGCCTGAATGATGTGAGTTCACACGTGCAGATACTCAGGAGTGTACATGCCAGGGGTAGGATTGCCAGAGCAAGATGAAGTGCAGCAACAGGAGGTGTAGAAATACCTCCTGTATTTCATGCCCTTCCCTGAGATGTGTAGGCATGTTCTCCGATTCCATCAGCCCCTCTCTGGGCACCTGGAAGGTGCTTATTTTCATGGTTAGGCCATCAGGGCAGATGCAAAGGCAATTGTTCCGTGTGTCTGAGTGCAGCGTGCAGCCTGCTGCTTCGTCTCTCTGAGCGTTCTGATTGGAATCCATGCATTTGTGGCAATATTGCCTTTAGCTTGGAGAATGATTTAGGGAGAGCGTTGGCGGATGAAAGAGGAGGGGAGGAGGGGAATCTTGCTAGTGTGAATGAGGCCAGGATAGGTTTCCGTCAGGACTTAGTGTCTTTTAAAAGTCTTTTTGGAGCTGGGCGCAGTGGCTCATGCCTGTAATCTTAACACTTTGGGAGGCTGAGGCAGGACGATTGCTTGAGCCCAGGAGTTTGAGACCAGCCTGGGCAACATAGCAAGACCCTGTTTCTGCAAATATTTTTCTTTTTTAAAAAAATTAGCGAGGCATAGGGGCATTTAAAAAAACATTAGCCAGGAGGTGGAGGCTGGAGGATCACTTGAGCCCAGGAGTTGGAGGCTGCAGTGAGCTATGATTGCACCGCTGTATTCCAGCCTGGGTGACAGAGTGAGAGCCTATCTCTAAATAAATAAATAAATAATAAACAAAAGTCTGTTTGTAAAGATGAACAGACCTCAAGATAATGGTTATCTCTGATGCGTGGGGATTCTATCAGGAAGGGGCACACGGGGCTTCTAAGAAATAGGACTGATAATGCCTGTTTCTTAATCTGGGTGATGAGTACAGGGTTTTCATTTAATTATTATTTTTAAAAAATGTAGACATGTTTAATGTACTCTACATGTATGAGAAATTTCACAATAAGAAAGTTTCAACATTGTAAGAAACATATTCATGTTTCGTTTATTTCTTATTTCATTTAGGTGAGCATAGCTACCCCAAAGCAGAAACCAAAAACTCCATTTTGCTTTGGTAAGTACTGAGCCAGGGGAGGGACTCGTTTAATATTGATATGGCAACTTCCTCTTTTGCTTGGAGACAGTCCTGTGATCACATGTGACTATACCCTGTGTGTATGAGTGACTTAAATCACAGTGACGGTCCTGGGCGTCAAGTGATACTGTTTTCCCTGGTCTTGCTGCAAAGGTTGTTAATAACATAAGGGCAGATGTCCAGGGACTAATAACATTTCTGTTTCCTTTTTTTTTTGGTTTCAGTTTTTTTTAATTGACAATAATTGTACATATTCATGGGGTACATAATGTATAATTAGCATATCTGTATTAGTCTGTTCTTGAACTGCTATAAAGAAATACCTGAGACTGGGTAATTTAAAAAGAGAAGAGGTTTGGCCAGGCCTGGTGGCTCACACCTATTATCCCAGTATGTTGGGAGGCCGAGGTGGGCAGATCACCTGAGATCAAGAGTGAGACCAGCCTGGCCAACATGGTGAAACCCCATCTCTACTAAAAATACAAAAAAATTAGCTGGGCATGGTGACGGGTGCCTGTAATTCCAGCTACTCGGGAGACTAAGGCAAGAGAATCTCTTGAACCTGGGAGGTGGAGGTTGCAGTGAGCTAATTTTGCACCATTGCACTCTAGTCCACCTCAAAAAAAAAACGAAAGAGGTTTAATTGGCTCACTGTTCTGCAGGCTCTATAGGGCTAGAGGAGAAGCAAGAAAGAGAGTGGGGAAGTGCTACGCACATTTAAATAACCAAATTTCACAAGAACTCACTATTATGACACGACAGCACAGGGCATGGTGTTAAACCGTGAGAAACTGTCCCCACGACCCATCATGATCCAATCACCTCCCACCTGGCCCTAACTCCAACACTGAGGATTATAATTGAACATGAGATTTGGGTGGGGACAGAGATCCAAACCGTATCAATGTCCATCATCATTTCTTTTAATAATTGTCCATATGCATTTCAGTTTTCTTGATGCCATAAGGCAGGTGCAAAATGTCCACTAGAAGTTTCTGCAAACCCTTATTTTAGAGCTGAGAAATGGTGTGCTCTGAAAAGATGGAGGACTCAGAGCAGAGGCAGATGGCAGTGCCAGGAAGGGGATAAGATAAAGGAAGGAGAATTCTGTTGAGGGTCTCAGTTACCCAAAGAGTGACATGTTGGGGGATGGTGTAGGAAGCAGAGTCACCGTGCACGGGTGCCTCAAGTCAGGAAGCAGTCAGTGAATTCAATGAATCCATCATCAGATAGTTACTTGGCTCCTACTATGTTCTCAGGATTGTGCTAAGTGCTATGAGCAAATGCTAACAAATAGTTTCTATTGCCTATCTCGGGTGGTCCTGAATGTAAGTTTTACAAAGGCAGGGATATTCCTCTGCCTTGTCACTGTGGTATCCTCAACACTTAAAGATGGTTTCTAGCGCATAGTAGGTGCTCAGTAAATATTTGTCAAATGAATGAATGAAGGGATGAATTCTGCATCTACCCCATGAGACTCACCTCCTACAGTTCAAGCTTATGCTAAGAGAATAAAATATTCCCTTGAGCTATTCTCTCTCCCCACTTCAGATTAGTTCAAACTTCTTTGGTACGCTCATTCTTCTGTTTCTTGCAAATTTCATAGCTAAGCTCAGAAATGACTGTCACGACTGGATTAAGAAAATGTGGCGCATATACACCATGGAATACTATGCAGCCATAAAAAAGGATGAGTTTGTGTCCTTTGTAGGGACATAGATGCAGCTGGAAACCATCATTCTTAGCAAACTATCGCAAGAACAGAAAACCAAACACCGCATGTTCTCACTCATAGGTGGGAACTGAACAATGAGATCACTTGGACTCGGGAAGGGGAACATCACACACCGGGGCCTATCATGGGGAGGGGGGAGAGGGGAGGGATTGCATTGGGAGTTATACCTGATGTAAATGACGAGTTGATGGGTGCTGACGAGTTGATTGGTGCAGCACACCAACATGGCACAAGTATACATATGTAACAAACCTGCACATTATGCACATGTACCCTAGAACTTAAAGTATAATAATAATAAAAAAAAATTTAAAAAAAAAAAGAAATGACTGTCACGTTTTGTGGTTATCAGATCTAAAAATATATATATGTAATAATAATGAACCTGGAAGTAAATTGTTGACCTAATGGAATGCTCAGAGGAAAGAACAGATTGAGAGTGAGGCCAAGGTCACAGATTTGATCTCAGGAAAGCTTTGTTCTATTTCCCAACCACAGACAAGACTCCCAGTCCAGACCAGTTGTGCCAGTGGAGACCAAGCATGGGTCCAGAATTCTGTATATACCATGATGACAGTAAACATATTAGCACTGCCAGAATGCGGTTCACAGTTGTGTCTTGTTGACGGCAGACCAGCAGCCTCATCACTGCAGAACAGCGCACTGAGGCTGCTGTTAACATGGTCAGGTGTTGTTCCTGTGGCCAATAGGATGTTTTTAAAGGTGGGAAAGAGAGTGAGCAAGTGTGGCCTGGGGCTTCCTAAATTCCCAAGGAAATGACTTAGCATCATGGGAGATTTCTTGTTCTGCTTTGTGGAGTTCACTCATCTTTCTCCCTCAAACACCTTAGCTTTGTGGAGACTTGTTGTGTTGCTTGTATTCTGACCCGGGAACATCTTCCCTTCTTTTCTGTGGCTTTTGTAGTTATCAATGCCCTGTCTCAGAGATATTTCCTTCAAGCCAATGACCAGAAAGATATGAAGGACTGGGTTGAAGCCCTGAACCAAGCCAGCAAGATCACCGTAAGTTTGGTTTCTTCTGTTTTCTGGGGGTAGTAAAAGTGCCTCTTCCCAGGCTGTGGCCTTGTTGGGGTTGGGGAAAACCGAGATGGCAGTGGGGACTTTCCCAGGAGCCTGGTCTGTACCCAGTTCTCTCCCACCTCTTCTTGTTCCTTGGCTTACCAAGCACAAGTTGAACTGAGAGTTTGAGTTTGAATCAAGTTCAAGGGGAAGTTCATGGAGCATCCCCTTTGGGCTTCCTGGGAGGGCTCCCGGTCGGTCATGTTTTGGGTGATTCTGGGATGCTGATTCAGAATGTGGTAGGATTGGAAAATGGATTGCTGACTGTGAAAAGTCAAGTAACGCGAAAAGCATATGGGGAGAGAAGGCAGAACTTTTTCCCAGCTTGAGGGGATACTCTTCTTACTTTCAGAGGCTGCCTGCAGGGTTAGTCCAAGCCATCCGCCTCCCTGTCCTGGAAAAGCCTTCTGTTTAAAAGCATCACAGAGCTAGTTCATGGACTGTCCTACAAGTGTGCTCTTTTTCCTTGAGTTGGCTCATGAAGAATTCCTTTCCTTTTCCGTGGAAATACAGAAAAAGAAAGGAAGAGGGTAGGAAGGATGGAGAGGGAAAACTATATGTTTTGGAAAAAACTAGACTTTTAATCAATAAGACAGGCAGACTCCTGGCTTATATAGATCATGGCTTGTATGCTGAAAAGTTTGTTTCTGTATCATACAGTCAGAAATGCTTATGTTTGAGGGGGGCTTTCAATAGTGACTATTACGTGCTGCAGCAAATTATCCTCCCAGATTTCTCAGGGTTCCTGTGAACAACTGTATAGAAGAAATGTGTACACATATCTAGTATTCGTGTTGCTAGACCTAACCTGAGTATAATTGAGTCCTATAAGCAGTTTTGCTGATTAGCTTCTTATTCTGATAAACCTTGGTAAACCCGTGAAAAGAGAGAGTGATGAAAAGAAAGAGGATGAATGGCTGGGTACAGTGGCTCAGCCTTGTAATCCCAGCACGTTAGGAGGCCAAAGCAGGCGGATCACGAAGTCAGGAAATCGAGACCATCCTGGCTAACAAGGTGAAACCCCGTCTCTACTAAAAAATAGAAAAAATTCGCCGGGCGTGGTGGCAGGCGCCTGTAGTCCCAGCTACTCGGGAGGCTGAGGCAGGAGAATCTCTTGAACCTGGGAGGCGGAGGTTGCAGTGAGCCGAGATCGTGCCATTGCATTCCAACCTGGGCAACAAGAGTGAAACTCTACCTCAAAAATAAATAAATAAATAAATAAAAATAATAAAAAAAAAAATTAACGAGGCCTGGTGGCTGACACCTGTATTCCCAGCTATCAGGAGGCTGAGGCAGGAGGATCACTTGAGCCCAGAAGTTTGAGGCAGCAGGGAGTTACGATTTTACCACTGTACTTTGGCCTAGGCAACAGAGTGAAACCCCATCTCTTAAAGAAGTCTCAGGTAGTGTAAGCAGCTTTGGAAAGGCTCTGCATGTTGATCTGAAGCAGTGCATGACACCGGAGCATAAGCGGTGACAAACAGTGTTCTTCGGGATTTTGAGAGGAAACACAGCAGCCAAGCTTCTGTTCTTCCTTTTCTGGCCACTGGGAACTCTAAAAAGTTACTTTC